AGTACCATGTTACAAGTTGCACTTTTTCTTGGACGGTATACAAAGTAATAGGTATTTTATTAATTATTTGTTTATTCTTTCAGAACTTCGTTTGAAATTTTTAATGTCAATGTGACTTCTTCTTCTTCGCGTGCCATATCAGAACTATCCGACGTTGGCGATCACCATTGCGAAGGCTTCTCGATCTTCTGCAATATGGAATAATTGTCCTGCATTTAGTATCTGAGTCCATTCACGAATAGTTTTTTAACCAAGAAACTTGTTTTCTTCCTACACCTCTACGGCCCTCTATTTTGCCTTTAAGGATCAGTTGTAAAATTTTATATCGACTTCCCTTACTATATGTCCCAGATAAGACATTTTTCGATGTTTAATAGTCTTTAGCAGTTCTCTGTCTTTGTTGACGCTCCTTAGTATTTCTTCATTAGTTTTTCTTGCTGTCCAAGGTATCTTCAGCATTCGTCCATGAACCCACATTTCCAATGCTTCAATTTTGTTCATGATCGAGACTTTTAGCGTCCACACTTCTGCACTATACAAAAGTACAGACCAAACATAACACTCAACCATTCTTTGCCTTTTGCCAGTGCTAAATTCAGATCGGTATTGCAAAGAAATGACTTTAATTTTCATAAAAGTAGTTTTAGTCATTGGTATTCTACGTTTAATTTCTATGTCAGGATCTAGTTGGTCCGTTATCACAGTTCCCAAATATTATGTCATTTTGTGAACTTTCTCAACTTGAACTCCGTTCAATTAAAGCTTTGCATCGGGATGTGGGTCACGACTAAACACTAAAAATTTGGTTTTGTTTGAGTTTATTTTAATGCCCATTTCCTCTCCTACCTCGTGAATACGATCAAGCAGAATTTGAAGATCTTCAATATTATAGGATAATATCTGATAGAATTACTGTATCTGCATATCTAATCACATTAAGTAGTTCCCCATTGATTTTTATTCCATATGGTTGTCTCTCAAGTACCTTTTTAAATAGCTGGTCCGAGTAAACATTGAACAATGATGGCGACAAAATGCAACCTTGTCTGACTCCTCGTTGTATGGGATTTCATAGGTGTAGTTATCTCCAATGATTCCAGTACAAATTTTTAATGGCACGAATATCCTTGTCATCTATTCCGATATTTTTCAGTATTTGCATTAATTTTACATGCTGTACTTTATCGAATGCCTTTTCGAAGTCACGAAACATGCAAATACATCTTTTCTTTGGTCACGGCATTTTGGTAATAGAATGTTTAGCGCAATGTGACAATTACGACAATTCGTACCTACTGTTACAGAATAATAAACAATCAGAATGCCCACTCTCAGATGCAGCCTTTGAAGTTTTTAAGAAGGAAACACATAACACAGACATATGATTTGTAGGGTTATGTAATTGTTTATATTTATGTTTAATTATATTATATTTATGTTATTACATTTAACAATGTTAATATAATTGTGTAATATGTATATGATTGCCGTAAGTCAATTAAACCGGGTTAATTTTTCTATGCACACCACATAAACAACACTGGTTCCCTTTAAAACATGGTGGAACGTCTGCGCGTACTTAATTTTCCATGGAGAGTGGGCCTTCTGATTGTTTATTATTCTGTGCTACTGTGAGGTGAAAATGTGAACATGTCACAGCGATTGCCATTGTGTTGTATGATCAATAAAACAATGTCGTGATCTGTATAATGTCTAAATTGTTAATGTGAATGAATCAGATAAAATTAAATTATTAGAATAATTTTTTACCAAGCAACAAAAAAATGTTTAATTTGATTTTCGGAAGTGGAAATCAAACCGTCAAATAAACTTAATTTGAAAATAAAATTATGGCTTGCTCCCAACAAAAATAGTAAATTGCATTAAGATGTCACAAGAAAATAGTTTCTAAACATTAATAATAGTATATTACTTTATGAGGCGGAGAAGCATGACTTTTCTTGACGCGCCCGATATTACGCGCCGAACGAAGTGAGGCGCGTAATAGAGAGCAAGTCAAGAAAAGTCGCTTCTTTGCTGAATAAAGTATACTATTTTTTCTTCAAACGTAGCAATTTTCAACCATAAATAGTACAATTCATACGCTATTTTTACTCGAAATTAACTGTGACAACTATCAAAGTCGTCTAGATGTTAGAAATTAAAATAATTAAGTCGTCGGTGGGATTTGCGTCTCCCTGGTTACAGTTGTTTGACAGTTGTTTGCAATTACTAAAGAGCTTATTGTTGTTCGCAAGCCGCCAACATCGGGAATGATTGCTGAAAGTTGTTCTCGACCATCAGTATCATCAACAATTATCAATGCGTATCAAGCGTAGGGAACATTTTTGCACGGTTTCAATTTTGAAAATGCCTCATTAACTAATTGTACTTTTATTATTACTATAAATAAAAATGATGTTTAATTGTTGTTAATGACATTTGTATTGTTGCTTTGTGACATGTTTCATATTGTTGTCATGACAACATTTTTCCCTCCGCCGTAAAGAAAGTTAGATAAGTAATGTCATCATTATTTGACGTTTGAAGAAAAATATTTTTTCTAGTGATAGTTTATTATTTCAATAATTTATGTAGTGCATTTGCACGACGACGAGTTAATGCGATAGCTTATTCTTTTTTGATGTATTTATGACGCTGAATCTAGCGTCGCCGTCGTCGTAATTTGTTTTTTTGTTTGATAAAAATAAAAATTCTGTAACTACGGCTTATAAAATTAAAATTTAAGAATTCAAATTCTTTACTAACTTTTACTATTTTTAGATAGCCCCTTAACTATATTCCGAAATGGTCCAAGTGGAATATTATTTCATATGTTTATTCTTGGTACGGCGTCTCATTGAAACAAATAATAAAATCCTCGATATTCTGTGAAGTGCTAAATTTAAATAAAATCTGTATAATGCTAACCTTTAGAAACTTCAAAGGTAAATCAGTTGTCAATTGAAGTATTAGATGTTTTAAGCTCATATTATGTAATTATTATTTCTATTCAAAGCGTTGTTCGTTTTGGAAATGTAGGTTAAAAACTTTTGAACATATTGACACTAAAGGCTAAAAGGACCCTTTTAGATTGTAACAGACATTTCACAAAAAAATATCTACTTATAGTACATATCGGCCTTCTTGTCATGTAAATCTTCTCAGTACACAAAATTATTTATAGGATTGTTTATAAAAGGTATCGGACTTCACACCAACACCGGAAAATCAAAAATATTGATCGTAGACACAGGAAACAATAATCTCCCTCACATATACCGAGTGGCGAATCTGGAAGTGGTAGATAGATTTGTATAGTTGGGCTCCCTGATAACCAACAATATCGATTGCTCCTCAAAAATCAATCGTAGACTAGCACTGACCCGAAGTTCTTCTTCTTCTTCTTCTTTTTATGCAGACATGTCTGTTGTTCAATAGGCCCCCAGTAAGATCTCCATCCATCGTTTTAGCAATCTTTCTACTGATCGTCTTTCTATTATATTTCATTACGGTACTCTACTGGCATCAGATAGCTCAAGTAAGGGTAAAAAGTAACATATAAGAGAGGATAGTCATGAGAAAGGGGATACAACAGAAGTGCATACTCTCCTCACTACGATAATTAATATGTATTTAGAAAACATCTTGGCCAAACCAATTAATAATATGATATATGCCGACGATATAATCATTATTGCCAGCAGTTTGCTAAACTCCAGCCACTGATTAGAAATTTTATCTTAACTAGAGGTTATACGAATTCAAATTCAAAATAAATTTGTTGAAGTACTAAGAATATTTTAAACTTGTATACAAAATTAAGTATTAACTAAATGCATACTCAATGGCACTAGAAGTAATACGATAGACGAATATGTATTAGACAGTTTGAACAACAACAGAGATCTACAACCAGGTGACCCTTTATTAACTGTTTATTTCAGTTTAATCTTGAAGGCAATTTTACGATAAAGTAACATTGCACTAAAAGTTCAATCCTCAATGTGTAGCATATGCGAATTATTTTGTTTTAATCACAAAAAAACAATTTCTGAATTAAACGAAACTTTTAATATATTAGAGAGGAAAGCTAGGTTGTATGGATTAGGGATAAATAAGGAAAAAACAAAATATCCGGTGATATACAAATTATTTAAAACATTTCTTTAAGCTTCATAAACTAAATGAGAATTTGTTGGACAATTCAATTAGTTAGTAAACCCCCTCTGTGGCTCAGTGGTAAGAGCGCCTACCTTTAAACCTAAAGGTCGTGAGTTGGAATCTCATCTGGGTGAAGAAATTTCGTTTATTAAAAATTAATGAATGAAAATAATTTCTATCCTTGTGCGATCGGTACTCACCGGAGGGACCGCAGGACGTTCGGATACAATTAGAGTCTCTTAGCAAAGAAAATGACGTTGACTTTGCTAAGTATCAAAAAAATTACTCTACACACACACACACACACACACACACACACACACACACACACACACACACACACACACACACACTACACTAAGTACCTGACTGTACCATGCCAATGATCATAGTTGTCGAGCATTAACTCAATAATAAAAAAAATTAGTTAGGAGTATCACTAACAAACAGAAATAAAGAGAATTAAGAAATCGTAAAAAGAATTGCTAAAAGTAGTAACAATGCTTTATGTCTAGCTAAGTGTTGCGCTAAATGAAAATATCCACTAACAATGAAAATATACTGATCAAAACAAAAAAGGAGCCACTTATAAAGATGTTCGTAGTTTTGAACTTTTTTTTTTAATTATATTATTTTTATTTAATTGCATCTAAGGATTTTCGCTAAAAATATAGTAAAGTTTTTGTTACTGAACTGTAAATTTTCTTGTGTAAAAAAATAGAAAGTGATATATGTGAAAAGTTCGATTTATTTTGCTAAAAATATTTTAAAATAAAACTAATAATGTGTGTAGGCTTCTCTAACTCGGATAACTTCTGCACAATGACCAGACTTACCCTTAATCCCATTTCAAATAGTTTCATGATCTAGATGTTGTTTCTATTCTTCCACGAGAACTTTAGCGACATCTAGGCTTACAGACATACTGATGACCCTAAAAGCGCTTTCCGAGTGTATCCCAAAAGTGTTCAATAGGATATAAATCTAGAATCCTCGCTAGCCACTCCATAACCTGAACATTGTATGTAATCAAATAAATTTGAACTATGCTGGTCATGTATGGTCTCGTATTATCTTGCTGAATGATAAATTCCTGACTTAAATTTGGTTCAAAAACTTTGTTATTGTATTGGTATGATGTCATCGTCTCTCGACGAGTAACTACTAGGTCAGAACATCCATTTAAAGTTATCCCACCCCAAACCATAATTGAACCTTCGCCAAAACCCTGGGTTTCTTGAATTTTGGAACCCAAAAAGCACTTGTCTGGTCTTCTTCAGGCTCTAACACGCCCGTCAACATGATTTAAAAGAAATCTGAACTTGTTAGTAAACGTTACTTCATTGTACCATGGTCCAATTGATGTGTTCTTCTAAAACAAGCTTCTGGTTCTACTCTGCTTCATTAGTCAATAACCTTAATGACACATTTTCAAACAGATGGATTAGAATTAACGGATTCATCCAAAGGCCTCCACGATGGTCCTCTATTATCAACCTTAGATTTTTTTAAGGAATCGTTTAAAACAAAAAAATACATAGATGTAGACAATTTAAAAACTAAAATTAGACAAGCGTGTACCCTGATTACGCCAAAGATGATACATTTGGCATCTACACGTGATCTGCTTAGACGGTTTGACACTTGTGTTGAAGCAGAAGGTCATTTTGAAGACCTCCTATAAAATTATTTAAAATTTTAGATGTTATTGTTCTGTCTCCACCCGTCATTCATTCTGGCCACATGGCCCGCCGAGTTTAACTTCAACCATGCTATACGCTCTATGACATCTGTGACCTTATCCTTCTTATTTCTTCGTTTCTGACTCTGTCTCTGAGAGACAGTCTAAAATAATAAACATTAAATTGAAAATTTACGATTCTTTAATATTATTTATGCTGCATTCATACAACTGATGAATATTACCATATATCTTCCTACCTTGGCCATCATTACTCTAATAACTTTTCTTATATAACGATTTGTAGATATGTTTAAAATTTCCTTTCTCTAATAGTTCGACCGCCTACAAATTCTTCTTCAAATAGTTGATTAAAAAATGGTAATTCTACGTTATAATAGATCGCAGTTAGTAATTATTGGCTATAAATAAATGCATTCAGATATTGACTTCCAAATAATTATAGAGAAGCAGATTATTAAGCAGATTCACTATATTTTATGATGAAACGTTGAATTTTAGTTTATCGCATGCATACTCATTTTAGTAAATGGAATACTATGGTGATATATTAAGAATTAAGATTGAAAATTGTTGTGAAAGAATCAAAATTGTTTGGTATGACAACATGGTTAAATATGTCAAAATAATAAAATATTTCATTTTCTGTAGTAATTTCATAACAAAGTATAATTTTATAAATTGTTTAGTTTTTATGACCAATATGCATGATGAAACTAAACATCGGCACGTACAATTTTTGAACAATGACAGAAGAAGAAAAAATCTATGAACTAGGTGAAAAACTCAACAGAATAAATTGTGACATTATTGAACTAACAGAAGCAATAAGGAAAAGTGAAAATAGAATAAAACTAAACTCACGGAATACAGATCACTACAGAGGTAATGAAGGCAATAGTAACTATAAAATCAGTTTTATTATAAATAAAATTATGTCCACCACATTGACATTATAAGAGGACTATCAAATAGAGTCGCCTACCTGATACTAAAAACTAAGACAGTAACCTTCAAGATCGTTCAAGGCTACGCAAAAACTTCGACACATGAAGATCTTTTTCTTTATGTACCATGTCCTTTCAGAACGTTGGTTACCATCATAGCTATCTTAGTTTTAGTCATTGCTACCGTAAATCGCATGCTTGTATCAACACCATACCGATCTCGCAAGTTCTTTAACCATGAGGTTCTTCTTCGTCCTGGACTGCGTTTGCCTGCTATTTTATTATTATGATTATTTTTACATATGAAGATGGAGAAGTAGAAACATTGTACGAAATGATATACAAAATAAAACGGAATTTACCCTAATTATTAGCGACTTGAATGCTTAGATTGAAACAATTTTAAACAATGAAGAAATACAAATGTGCTCTTTCGGATTTGGCGAACGAAATAATAGAAGAAAAACATTATGAAAGAGAAAGATTGCAATGAATTTCTTTATTTCTAAAAAGAAACACTAAAGAAACTGGATATCGTTAAATCTCAATAAAATAACGAAAGAGAAGAATACCTTCATTCTTTTCTGTCACAAATATATTGCTAAACGATTAGTTATTAACAAATTCACAACTGGTAGTGACCACCTACCAATTTGAGCTACTATATAGATATATATGTATATACTAGTTGCCTGGATGTGTCTAACTTCAATAACTAAAAATTAACACAAAACAAAAAAATACTCGATAATATTATGTATGAAAAAAGTTAAGTTAATTTAATGATTTCTGGTGAACTATATTTTTTTGCGTAGCATAAATATACAACGATAACGGTTTTCCAACAAGCAAATATTTGTTTATTCGCGAAAAATTGAAACTCTAAGTTAATTCCGCAAACTTCCGATGGTTGGCCTTACACTTTGTTTATCGTCAATGCAAAAGCCAAATGTACAGAAAATTTTAGGTGCTTAAAATCGAATAGTAAGTCCTTTGAAATCAACCAATTGGATGGCGCATGGGCAAAAGTACTAAAGAATAAGCCGAAATTTTCGCTGAACATTTTAAAACGGTTTTTTAACCATCTCCTGCCATTAATATAGATAATGAAATTTAACTTTATCTAGAATCTTCCTATTAACTTAAAACTTCTCTAATTACATTAACGAACTTAATAATTTTATCCATACTAGATTAAACCCCAAAAAGTCAGTAAGTAATTACAATAAGAATTTTAAAGGAATTACCAAAAAAAGCCCAACTTTATCTTACACAACTGAATAAAGCTATAGATTATGCTAATATTAAGAACAGAATATTTCTCCTAATTTGGAAATTATCCGAAACAATCTTAATTTCAAAGCCCAAAAAATCCCTGGAGGAAATAAAGTCCTACAGACCTATTAGCTTGCTCCTCATAATATTTAAAATATTGGATAAACTACTGTTATTGAGAATAGTATATGTAATGCATGTACTACAAGTGTATATGCCAACATGCGATGGAACAGATGGAGAAGTGGAAGAGATGTACCAGTTATTAAACAGTAATATCGCTCTCTCTTCAATCCTGACCCCCCAGGGGGAGTGTAGTGGCCGACGTGATGTCGTGTATTGTCCGTCTCCAGAGATCTCTGTCTCTGTCATTTCTTTTAATTCATGCATAGGTCTTTGGCATATTCCTGTAATTTGATCTATCCATCTTGTTGGGGATCTTCCTCGTGATCTTCGGCCTTCTACCTTTCCTTGTATTACGAGTCTTTCCATGTTTTCTGTGTTTGCTCTCATAACATGCCCAAAATATTTTAATTGTTGGAAATGGACTTTACTAGAGAGTCGTTGGCTAACTTTTAGCTCTCTTAAAATTGAATTATTTGTTCTATGGTCGGTCCAAGGAATTCGTAACATTCGTCTCCAACAGAACATTTCAGTGGCGTCTATCTTTCTTCTCTCCGATTGTCTCAGAGTCCAAGATTCACATTCGTAGGTCAGTATTGGAAATATTAAGCAGTTGATCAACCTCATCTTTATCGCTCTTGAAATTTGACATTCCTTCCATATTTTGGTCATTTTTGCTTTGGCAACTTTTGCTAGATCACATTTACGTTTAATCTCTTCTTGTAATGACCCTGTGTTTGTGATTAATGACACAACCTCGAACCGGTCAATTGTGGTTATGTGTGTATGATTGTTGTGTAGTCTATCCACTATCATGATCTTTGTCTTTGATATGTTTAATTGCAGACCAAATATTTGACTTTCGTTTTCGATCAGTCGTATAAGTTCCATCAGATCTGCTTGACTATTTGCAAGAAGGGCTGTGTCATCTGCGAAACGTAGGTTGTTTAGTTTATGACCATTTGACCGAGTAATATCGCTAATATACCCAAAAAAGAACCAGTCATAATATTGGGTGACTTGAATACAAAAATAGGCAAAACAACAAGAGAAGATCTGCTGAAAGGAACAGTTGCTGGGTTTGGAATAGGTGAACCAAATGAGAGAGGAGAATTGCTATTACAATTTGTCATCAACACTGAACTTAGTATCATGAACACCATGTTTAAGCATCATCCGCGAAGACTTTCAACTTGGACTTTACCGGGGGAACATATAAAAATCAAATAGATTATATTCTTGTCAGCAAACGATGGAAAAGTTTAGTAGTCAATGCAAAGACAAAACCAGCGGCTGATTGCGGAACAGATCATAAGCTGTTACAATCCGAATTTCGTATCAAATTTCGTAAAAAACAAATAAAACAATTAAATATATACCTAGAGCCTAGAAAATACAAAGAAACACTGAGACATAGTAACACACCAAACATTACTGGCGATTCCAATCAAACATGGGAACATACAAAGACGTGGATTATAGATCCACGGTATTATGGTATTATTACAAACCCCAAAGAAACAATAATTCAAATCCAACAGAAACTGCAAACAAGATAGCAAATGTAAACTGACGCATAAAATCATCAAGTAGAAGAGACAAAAATAATAATATTAAAGAAATATTCAAACAACTACCAGAACACACGGACCGTCAAGAATCTAGAGAACTGTTTGCCAAAGTAAAATACTTAACTAAAGAGTTCAAGCCACAAACGCAGATAATTAAAGATCACTTGGGAACGATCATCTCCAATCCAGAGGGCATAGCAGCGACATGGAAACAATATTGTGAAATGCTGTTTCATAGTGATCAT